CATTAAACGATCAATTATTAGAAAAAGTAACTGTACAAATGGATGGATCAACTGAAGGTGTTGAAGTTGTTCATTATACTCCATATTCATTAAAAAAATGTAATGATATGGATACAACATATACATTAGTTAAATTACCTGATGATTCATCAGCTGTTACTGGTACATTATCATGTACAATGAAATATACAGTTAAAGATTGTGATCCAGCGACAGGTGAACCAGATAATGAAGAAGGTTAGGCTGATGAATTTGTAGTTAGATTTTTTTTATTAATCATTCTTTCTGATAGAAATTATTATTTTGTTTTAGCTTGAAGATGTTGAAGTAACAGTTAGTGTTCATGTACAAAAAGTACTTAAACTAAATTGGTCTGTTTCATGGAAAGAAATTAGTAATGAAAATGAACTTGAAGACAGATATATATCATCAATGCCAACACTTAAAGGTTTGTTTTTATTTTTTTTGTATAGCATGTATAAGGAAAATAATAAGTTATATGGGAATGCAAGCTTGTGAACGATCAAACAAAGTTCCAAAAAGGCAAAGCTTCACATGTATTTTATTTAGCAGGTGTTTATTGAGGTGAACATGATATACTTGTTAGAGCAAAGATGGCCTTAGATGCGACATCATCAGATCCTGGAACAACAGCTATTACAATGCAATTGACAATATGTTCAACTGATCAATCAGTTGTACAAGTTATTGCATTAGCAATTGAAGAAACATTTACTTATTTCTATTAATTTATTTTTACTATGAATCTTTTAATAAAGTGCTTATAGAGTTTTTAGTGTCGGTTTTCTTTATGAGTAAAAAGTGCCTATGAATAACCTAAAGTTCATTAATTCTTTCTATTGATGTCATATGATTCAGTACATACCATTCGTGTGTTGCAAATAATTTATAGGAATCTACTTTTGGTTTTCGTTTTTATAACTTGTTATCTGGTTTGAGCTTTATTTGTTTCGAATGACAAATACAGGAAGTGTTTTAATCTTGTGCTTCTTTTTTTTGAATAAATTTAATGCGTAGAGGCTTGTTAATACATTTCTTTTATAGTTTCTACTATTATAAAAATAAAGACATGGACAACAAATAAAGAGAACTACCAGGAAGAGGGACAAAATAATGCATTACAAGTTTTTTTTCTTTCAATGTAAACCATAATGGTGAGTAGTGTCACATATCCAACATTTTGGAGATCTCCCACATCTCTCTACGGGAGACGCGGTCATTTGCCACTGGGGATGTATCATCTCCTTTAGAGATGTACATCCCCCACACCCACATCTCTTGCCAGCAGATGACATAGCTGTGTGAGAGATGTGGGAGATCTCTAAAATTTTGGATATGTGATACTGTTGATAATGGTAGAAAAAGAAATGAGGAAATAGAAGAAAGAATGCGTACAACAACAATATGAGATAACATCATTATGAACAAAAAAAAGTTTAAAGGATATATCAGATATAAGGATGTGTAAAAAGAAAACGCTATCATAGTTGAAAACTAAAGAAACGACTGAGGAAATGAGAAAAGAAATAGGTCATTATACGATATAGAAATTTTTTTCTAGAACAGATTAACGAGAGAAATAATGTACTAATTAAACAGAATGAAGATAAGACATATCATAATCATCACATAAATATAAAAATGCTCCAAATCGATTTAATCGCTCACTTGTTCTGGTTCGTGATGAGTAAGACCTGGAAAAAGCACGATGTTTTGCAAAGCATTCATAATGCTTATATAATCATAAAATGATTTTCCTGATTGTGTTTCATCAAAACTGAAAATAGTCTGTTTAGTTATGAATTAATGCAGATTATAAACTTACTAGATTGCGAAATCAAAATGATCAACGTAGACAACTGATTCAGACAGTTCAATTTTGATGATAGTGCCAAATGTTTTCGCCAAAAAGCTTAAATAATCCGCCACTTCTAGATTAAAAAAACAAAATAAATACAGAGATTTGAGGAATAAAATAGTGTATCAATCATACGTTGCCAGTTATCTTGGTAAACGTTGTGGACACTTCCTTTGATTTTACTATTCCACTCTCGTTCATTCTATAAAAAAACAAAATATCAACATTCATCACCTAATTGTAAACATACTTCTTCAATAATGCACATTTGAATATTATTAAAAAAAAGTCAAAACTTCTACTTACAGTTGGTTCACCACATAAATCTCCATTGGTTCGATAAAAGTATGGCCGAATCATAAATGATGCTCAGCAAAAAGATGAATAACGAAATCAGTGTTATGCGGTAATATGAAATGGTGCATCATACTATAAATTATATATATGCCATGTCGTCGTGTTAATCGAGGTTCGTTTTGTCTTTTATTCTTTCGATTAGAAAACAATCGATATAGAATAAGCGAAACATATATGTTACCTCGATCCTTAGTCATCTAGCACTACTTTTCCAATAACGCATTTGATCTGAACTTATGACCTCGAGTGAATCGATCCCTATTAATAACAAATCGATAAATTGCAACATTAACTATAACAACTCTTAAAGTATTTTACTTAATTCATTAGTTCAATTGGCGATTTATATTGATGTTCAGACAGGCAATAAAGCAGATTTTGATCGATTAATGAAACAAATTTCTTCATTTTCTTCTGAAATATCTGATCAATTTAAAATAGTTGTTGTTCATGTGATTCAATAAGTTTATTCCGGAAATTTTTTTTTTCTTTTTTCAAAATAAATTAATTGAAGATCATTATATGAAAACTGTCCACGTAAACATACAGCTTTAATCACATTTTTATCAAATATGTTACTTGAAGAAGGCGGTTATGAATATAAAAGAGCAATTGTTAATACAATTATTTCAATTATTGAAGAAAATTCTGAAGTCAAAAAAGCGGATAGGAGTTTAATGATTAAGTTATTTTCTTTTTCTTTATTCTGATTGCATAAGTTTAATTCATTTATGTGAATTTATCGAAGATTGTGAACTATGATCGTTATCAAGTCGTATTCTTCATGTATTAGATCGAGAAGCACCATTTAAACAACACCATCGAAATATATTCGTTATATTTATAATCGTGTTATTCTTGAAAATCTACCTGCTAGAGTCGGTAAGATTGATTTCATTAATTTATTTCTAAATAGTAATTTTACAACAAGCAATGTTTGATCAAGTTGATGAAGTTCGTGATCGAGCAACATTTTATTATCAATTATTAAAACAAAAAGATAAAAGGCTTTATTCAGATTATATTTGTAATTGTGAGTAGAATAATTAAAATAAAATAAGATATTTATTTTCGGTATGAATGTATCTTTATCATCATTTGGGGTCCGTATCACTTTGCCGACAGTTACTTTGCCGACGTATTACTTTGCCGACGTATTACTTTGCCGACACCACTTTGCCGAAAAATTGTTTTGCCGACATATACACTTTGCCGACAGTC